CTTATACTGTATTCCACAATTAAACATAAAATTAGAACAACAAGGGGATAATGGGATTGAAACAGATTAAGATATGTTAAAATTATGTACTGGTTTCCTAAAATAATCTCCACCATCATGTAATATTAACATGCACTAATAAAATATAAGTTGAGAAACTAATTTTATTTATGGTGCATTTCACAATAAAAAGTTTTTTCCTGAGACAGGGTCTCACTATGTAGTCCAGGCTGGCCTTGAACTCATTATGGAGCCCAGGCTGCCTCCAACTCGTGGCAACCCTCCTGCCTCAGCCTCCCAAGTGCAGGGATTACAGGGGGCCACAATAAATTGTAAAATGAGAAAATAAACATTTTAATGAGAGAGGCGTTTTATTGCATGCTGTAAATATTTGTATTATTGGCTCATCTAGGACTCTGAGAGTCAAGACTCCATGGCCCGCCCTTGCCAGAGGCTGTGTGATTCCACAGTCCCCAAGCACTGCTAATTCTAGTGTTGTGGACTCCTGGGACCTGACATCGAATTTGAAGGGTACAACAGCATGTTCTAAAGTTCCTGGGCAGATATACAAAAAGGCAGCAGGAAGTGAGAGGAAAACACTAAACAGCTCACATGTGTTGGTGACAAGGTATTACAGAATGAAGTGTCCTCCCAGAGGAGGTGGGGGGACTGTACCAGCGCTGAGTCAAGGGTCTGAATTCTACCAGGAATGAGATCGGCTCAGGCAGAATGGACAGACTGCCCAGTAGAATGGATCCTACTGTTCAGGTGCAAAGGACAGCACTTAGAAGGGCAGCATTTCTGTGACAGGTGCTGCAAGCCTTGGGTCCCCACTTCCTCCCCAGCCTGCCCCTTGTGCCTGGGCTGAGCCCAGGGCCTTCTGCATGCTAAGCATGTGTTCCACACTGTAGAAAAACATTCACTTTTTTAGTCCTCATGAAGAACCAGCAGCTGGTAATATGGAAACGAAAGTGGGCTTTGGACAGAGACCAGAAACAGGGCCTGGCTGAGCTGGAGCAGCCTCAGCTGTCCGTCCCATATCCAAGGCAGTGGCCACCGAGGACCCCAGAGACAGAGGGGAGGCTGCGGCTGGGGCTCGGGGGTCACACATCCTGCTGGTCTGAAGTAAATACAAAACCTTGGATATGAAAAGCTTCCTTGAAGATTCCCTCTACTTTAATTTTGATATTACTTTGCTATCATAAATGGGATGTGCCCAAGCCCCCTGCTGACTCTAGCGTATTTAACTGTTAAAGATTTTTGAGGATTCCTGTTAAATACCCAGAGCTGACTTGGAACTCAGAATCTATAAAGGAAACATTAAAATAGAAAGGAAGCAGGGTGGTGACAAGAGGCCTTCCTGTCACACAGAAAGGAAGTAACATCCTCTTCGTGCCAGTGGGGAAAATGAACACCCTCCCACTAAACCACACATAAGGCAGAAAGGTCTCTACTTCCATTCAGCACTGGGTAGGAAACTTAAGCCAGCGCAATAAGGCAAGAGACCGCCCCCCACCCCCACCAAAAAAGGACACATACATTGGGAAGTAAACAATAAAACTTGTTATTTTCAGATGACAGATTCGCTTAAAATTGTATGATATCTGTAAAAGGCTTACTAGAAGTAATGCATGAGTTTAGCAAGGTCACTGGATACCAGGTCAATAAACCAAAATCAATGGCACTACTATATGATAGCAAGAAGCTGCCTGAAGTCCAAACTAAAGGAAAAGATCCACTTGTGAGCACATAAAAAACATGAAATAGGGATGAATTTAGTGAAATAGGTGTAAGACCTATATGGTGAAAACTCACAATATTATTGAGATAAATTAAAAAAGACCAAGATAAATGGAAAGATATACCATTCTCATAGAACTAAGGTATAAAATCTACCCAAATGGACTTAAAGATTTGGTGCAATCACAATATAAATCCCAGTAGCTGTCAAACTGATTCTCACACTGGGCATGGTAGCCTGGGCCTATAATCTCAGTACTTAGCGGGGCTGAGGGAGGAGGACTGCTGTGAGTTTGAGGCCAGCCTGGGCTACACAGTGAGTTCAAGGCCAGTCTAAACTACATAGCAAGACCCTGTCTCAAAAAATTAAACCAAACCAACCAAACAAAGAAATTGATTCTCAAATTTAGAAAGAAATGCAAAAGGTCTATAATAGCTAAGACAGTTTTAAGAAAGAAATTAGAAGATTTCAAAGTACTGAATGTCAGGGTTATATATCCTGACAAAGCTACTGTCATTGAGAGGGCGGTATAGGTGCAAGTGCAGACACAGATAAACTCCTCAGGCAGTCTGCAGATGGCCCAGAGGTTCTGGCAACTGGAACTAGGTCATTTAGTGGGAAAGGGCAGTATTCGGCACTTGTTGCTGAACAATTGAACATTCATATGGAAAAACAATAAAACTGCACTTTTTGTACACTATACACAAATTATTTAATCAAAACAGGTTTAAGCCTTAACAAATATGATTTAAAACGGTAAAATCATCAGTAGAAAACACAGGAGAAAGCCCTGGTAGCCCTGGGGTACACTAACTTTTTCTTAGGATGAAAAAAGTAGAAATTGTAAGAAAAACACTTGAAAAAACCAAATTTCATCAAAATTAAATATTTTTCTTTTCAAAACACTCTTATGAAATAAAAGCAGCTGTGAATTGGGGGAAATAACTCACATTGCACACATCTAACAAAGCCTGTATGTGGCACACACACAGAACTTGTATGCAATGATGAATCAGTTCCCAAAGATAGGCAAGAAGATCTGAAGATGCTTCACTGAAGAAGATATCCAAGTGTCCAATAAATTAGCACAAGAAAGTTGTTTAGCATCATTAGTCACCAGGGAAATGCAAATTTAAACCATAACCACCTGTCCACTGCACTGACTAAAATAAAAAGTCACCCTTCCTCGGCTGGCTGTGCGGAGGGCACCGATGTGACCAACGTGAGCAAAAGGGTGTCATCAGGGCTTCCTTGGGAGCCCAGGAAGCTGGGAGCCCAGCAGACTGGACAAGGAGCAAGCCGGCTGGGCACATGCTGCTGTCCTCTGCGGAGGCTGATCCAGGCACAAGCTGTCTCGAGGTGCGCACCCGTCCCTCCAGGCTGGCACTGGGTCAGCTACAGTGCCAAGAGCCACAGGGCAGGTGGGAGGACTGGCGCCGTGCCCGGACACAGCCAGGTGCCAAGACAGGGCCCCTGTGTTCTCCAAACCCTAGGCGGGGGTCTGTAGAACTCAGGACAGGACCAGGATGGGGCCACAGACTGACACCTCAGGGAAAGGTGACATTTGGAAAGGATTGCCAGGCGGGTGGCAGCTGCCAAGAAGAAGCACTGCAAAAATCATTCTGCGCAAATAACCGCCCCATTTGTGAAGAGGTCCTGGCAGTTAATTATCCACGAGGATATGCAACAATGGGCCTGCTCTCACATTCTTAATGGGAAGGTAAGATGTTCCGGTCATTTTGGAAAACAAGTTGATTTTCTTAGGGAGTTCCCACACAACTCTCGGCTGTTCCACTCCAAGGTACTTTCCCTAGAGAAATGAAAATGTGTTCATGCACAGATTTGTACGTGCTTGCTGGGGCAGATTCATGCATACGTGCCCAGAACAACTAACCTGCCCATAAGCAGGAGACGGGATAAACAAATCCTGGTATGTGAATCCAAGGGCAGAGACACTGCTGATGTGCACCCGCAGGTCAGATTCCCAGAAACATGGTGCTGAAAGAAGGAATCTAACTCCAAGACCACAGGAGAAGTGGCTCCTTCTACAAGTGTAGCCAGGTGTGGTGGCGCACACCTGTAATCCCAGCACTCGGGAAGCTGAGGCAGGAGGACTGCTGTGAGCTCCAGGCCATCCTGTACTACAATATAGAGACCCTGTCTCAAAAAAAAAAAAAAAGAAAAAAAAGTGTAGAAAATCAGGTTTCACCCACAGGGACAGAAATAAGGCCCGTGGGTATGTGAGGCTGGGAGGGCTGGGGACCAGCCAGGAAAGAGCCCATGACTCTTGGCTGGTGAAGACTGTCTCTGTCTGAACTGTGCTGGTTGCAAGGGCGATCACCTCTGTCAGGTTCAAAGAAACAGACCCTGAAAATGGGCGCATTTCATACCCATGCCTTCCTTAAGAACACTGTGGGGCTGAAGTTCTCTGTATACACCACATCCGTCTGCACTGGTGATCTTGCCGGCTGTGACCTCGGCAGAGGACATCGTGATTGGGACTGGAATGCAGCAGGCCAGGGTTTCAGCAGCTATTATCTCGGGCTGTTTCAGGCCGTTAGATAAAGAGCCCTTCACTGGCCACCTTTGCCTCTCCCTAGGATTCTTGAGACTGTTAGATAACACTCTCAGAAAGGAACACACTGTTAAGCCAGGCAGAACTCCAGCCACCCCCAACCCCAAAGCTGAGGCTGGGGTACTGCCCAGAGCTTCACCCTTTCACAGGGCACTGCCTACTGCCCCAACCATGTATGTGCAAATGTGTTGACTCCCTGCTCTTTCTTCTTCTGATACAAAAGCTCAGGTGACCTCTTTCACTTGGAAAATGTCATTCAGGGTAATTGAATCTCAGCTCTTGGGTGGTGGTCACTCCTATTTGGCTTAGAATAAAATGAACCAAAGACTCTTAGAGCTGGGAATGGTGACACACAGCCGCATCCCAGTACTCTGGGAGGCTGAGGCAGGAGGATCACAAGTTGGAGCCCAGCCTAGGCATTTAAGTGACTTACCAAAATCTCGTCTCAAAATTAAAGCTTAAAGCCAAGTGGTAGTGGACACTTGTAATCTCACCACTGGAGAGGCTGAGGTAGGATTAGCACGAGTAATCCTGAGGTCAGCCTGGGCTACATAGTGAGCCCCTGTCTAAAAAAAAAAGTAAATCTATAAAAAATGAGAAGGTGAAGAAAGGGATATAACTCAGTGCAAAGGCCCTGGGTTCAGTCCCCAGTACTGGGGGAAAATTCAGTTATAGCATGTGTTCTATTTGCAAAGGAAATGTAATTTACAGGTTTTATTCTTCTTTTCATTAATGCTGTAGCCCATTTGGGGTGCTCCAACCAATTTCCTTATCACAGGTACCTGTAAAGAGCAGAACTTCACTGCCATGGTTCTGGCGGCCACCAAGTCTGGCGCAGCCCGGGCAGGTCCTGGTCTGTGTGAGTGGCTTCCCAGTTCCCTGCCACCCTACACAGGCCAGAGAGCTGCCCACCACCTCTTTCACAAGGGCACTCTGGCTGGTGAGGGTTGCTGGTGGTTCTGAATGCCTTGCCTTGAGGACTAGGCTCAGCATGGAAGGAAAGGACAAACAATATAGAGGCTGCTTGGACTTGAGGACAGATAATTGCCATGGTTCAAAACTAGAAAGACACCAAAAAGCACCTAGCAACAACTCTACTCTCACCACGTTACCAGCCCCACACCAAACCATTCAGCCCTCAGAAGCCGTCTGACTTCTTTATGTACAGACACAACTGGGTGGGTTCCTCTTTCATTTTTTCAGAACAGTTCATACACTGAACACGCTCTGCATTTAGTTATTTCCCTTAGCATTCCTGGAGATCGTCCCTGACAGGATATGAAAACTTTCCTTCCGGAGTTGCACAGTACTCTGCCGTGGGGCCCTGTCACACTTGCAATCCTGCCTCAGCCGCCAGAGTGCTGATTTCTTCCTCCTCTCAGGCTCGCCCTCCCTCCTTTCTTTGCGGTCGGTCGCCGCACCACGGGACGCTGAAGCCGTTCAGCACTGTTTCAAGCCAGCACCTGTGTCCTGCTGCAGCTCGTCAGAGGTTACTGCAAACCAATCAGCTGGTGACCTGGTGAAAATGTAGATTTGGGCCCAAATGGAGCCTGGGATCCTGTGTTTCAGAGCTATTCCTACCGACTTGTTTAATCCAAGAAAAAGGGCTAGGGGTAGGACTAGGCAAAGTTGAGGCCTATTCAGTTGTGTTATATAAACGAGATTTATTGAATTTGGGGAAGTTCTTCCTTGATTTGTATTTTCTTTCTGGACATCATCTGCCCCTAGGGGGCTCAGGCTGCTGGTGAGGGGCACACGGAGAGGGACTGGCGGGATGAGTGTGTCAGCAGTGCCGCCCGCTGGGACTCTGAGCTGCTGCATGCCAGGCACTGGCTGGTGTTTTTCCTGAATTATCTAGTTCTAGCAACAGCCCTGTGATGATACTGAGACTGAGATGTGAGCTAAACAAGCTGGGGACAGATCTGGGAGTCAGTGCAGTCCCCACCGGAACCTAAGGTAAGCGTGTCCTGGGCTGGCTGCTCTGCCCAGCTCGAGAGAAGCCAGTGCTTCAAGGGACCACCCCCTCAGTGTAGCCTCAAGCAAGTCACTTACCTCAGGGATGAAAGGGCCTTAACTTAGATCTCCAAATCCTTCCCTTTTTGTTCTAGGGTTAAGAGATGAGAAAGGTAGGATGAACTGAAAGTAAAATTTCCCAGGGAGCTAGAAAGCCTGCAGGAGTAGCATTATTTTCTTTTTTTTTTTTTTTTTTTTTTTTTTTTTTGGTTTTTCTCCGGTACCAGGAACCGAACTC